TATTTTATTTCAGCACAGTAGTAGATATAAGTAACTAACAACTGCTTCCAAAAAAGATGAACTTCACAGTCAAAAGGGTGAGTATACAGCTCTTTGCTCCGTTGGTGAATGTGCATTTCCAAGTCCTATGCTGTTACAGCACTTAGACTTTCAAATCTGAGTTCTATGCAGAGACAGTTAAAGGAACTTTTTTGATTCCTGATCCAAATTAATGTGAATCCCACAAGTAAGGTGGTGCATGTGAAGGAAAGGTCTTTAGGTTTAAATTGAAGAGATGCACTCATTTCCTTTTTATCTGTATTCATTATGAATGAGAGAAATCTGATCTGATGGGCCATTAAAATTATAGATGTGACCACGAGTTCAGCCATCTAATTTCTTACTGAAATTGAGCTTTTCCTTTTAGATAACCATGTAACATATTTGGTAAAGTATTTTATAACTCTATGTAAATAATTGATGTCTTCTTACACTTATTGTAAACTTCATCTTGTGTGTGAATTTACTGTAATAATTCACAGGCTGGTACTCGTGTTCCTGAGTAAGAATAATGCCAGCCACTCAGATCACAGATTTTTCTTTATGAAGGTTTTGCTAATTGTGCAGGACATCTGAGGCAGTAGTCTTTTGTTTTTAATTGGGGGTGGGGGCAGCCTGGTGCTTTGATTTTTAATAAAAAATTAACTTTGATGAATTTTTACTGCGAATATTTTACCACAAGTATTTAATGGGGAAAAAAACTAAGTGTTATTAGAGTATTAACTACTTAATTCTCCCTTCACTGCTACCTTTGTGCGTGCTTCTAGCTGTAACATCGATACATAAATAAGTATAATAAGAAACAACTAAGATAAACAAAAATTGACAAACAGGAAGGAAAGATACCTTTAATCAAAGATGGTAAGAAAAATTCTACTTGTTCGCAATCAGTTTGGGAAAGAAGGAAAAAGAGAATGAGGATTCCACCTATAAAGTTTAGAATGTTTTCATTGTCATAAATTATATTTAATAGATCTTTCATGAGGATAAGCTTGTTTCTTAATAATTAGGTCCAACTATGAATCCTAAAGCCGTCTTTCTTGAGCTGCGCTCTTGAGCTCTCCTGCCTTTCTGCCTCTTGCTGTGGGGTGAGGCAGCACGAAGGCCCCCCACCCCCTATGGACCTTCTCTACTTGGACTTCACAGGCTCTAGAACTATAAGAAATAAATTATGTTTTTTATTAAAAACAAAAATTGTTCCTTGTTAAACATTTAATTGTTTTCCCACATTTTCAAATGTGGTCCGGAAGTAAGGCTATTTCAACCTTTCGTACCATGTATCAAGATACCTGGAAGCGTGAATTTGTTGGCCCTGTTCTAACATGCCTCAACCAGAAGGCAGAAAATTCAGTCAGAAATTTTTGCGCTGCAAACGACTGAAGCCCACTGTCACTGTTTTAGGGAAAAGGATAAAATTAACAGATCAATCAGGGGTAAGCACTGGAATGAACATGTACTGACCGTGACCCTCAAGGTGGCATTTCTGCAAGGAAAATATGGGTGTTCTCAACGTGAAGAAGGAAGAATGGCTACAAAACAGGCAAGAACAACAAACTTAATACGCCACTGGGCCCCAGACTTTGACAGTGATGCTGGTACCTAATCTGATCCTTTCAGGGGTTCACTTATGAGCATGTGTTAAGAAACTCAATGTGCCAAAAGTCTAAAATAAAGGTTTTGGCATTCATTTTAGAACAGAAACTTTTGCCATTATTGCCTATGCTTTAAAAAGACTTAAGTCAAAATCCCTCCTATGTATGAAACTATTCAAGTCAGACAAATCCAACCTCTATCCTACTATATAAAGCAAAATGTAATGGTACAGAGATTATGGTTATAGTTTTCTTTAATACCATTATTATTTCTTGCTCTTTGGGTGAGCGATGAAACCAATTCAAAAACATTCTTTTACATAAGTGACTTGAAATTTGTTGATTTCCATTTCTACTGATGTCTAACACTAGGTATGGTGAGCAACATAAATGAGTTGTCAAGGATTTTTCAAATTTGGTACTTAATTAAAATTATGTTAATAGTTTGTTATAGACTTAATTCAGTATCTTCTCAGGCATGGGTACCCAAGATATCTTTGTATCCAAAGATATTTTGGCCTAAAATTTTATAAATAGATTTTGAGATAGTTCTGCAAACTGTGGCCAGCATTTTGTCTAGCCTGGAAGCTAAGAATTTTTTTTAAAGGCTTATAAACAAAAAAATAAATAAAGTGATAGGCATATAGTTCACAAAGTCTATTTCTGTCCAGCCCTTTATAGAAAGAATTTCCTAAGTTTAAGCCATTTATGCCTATGGTTCAAAACAGGATTATTTGCACCTTTATTTAAGGAGTGTGAACCTCTTATAGTTTGATAGTGCAGTGACACTTTATTGTGGCTGCAGGTAAGTTCTTTTTCAATTGCAAAATGTGGGTGGGAGAAAGTAAGCCAGTGGTGGGATCCCCCAACTTCAGAGCTGTTGGTGACCAGGTGCATTGTCAATAACCAGTAATATTTTTTGGGGGGTGGGGGGAGGATTTTGTTTTCTGAGCAGTAGGTCTCAACAGTGGGCTTAAAATATTCATAACTGTGCTGTGAATAGCAGTAATATTTTCCAGGCTTCACTGTTCCATTTCTAGAGCATTTTTTTTTTTTTTTTAGAGACAGAGTCACAAGCTATCACCCTGGATAGAGTGCTATGGCATCACAGCTCACAGCAACCTCAAACTCTTGGGCATAAGCAATTCTCTTGCCTCAGCCTCCGGAGTAGCTGGGACTACAGGCACCTGCCACAAGGCCCAGCTATTTTTTTGTTGTTGCAATTGTCATTATTGTTCCAGCTGGCCCAGGCCAGGCTCAAACCCACCAGCCTTGGTGTTTGTGGCCATCGCCCCACCCACCAAACTATAGGCGCCTCTTAGAGCATAATTTTTTAATGGCCCTAGGATTTTCAGAATAGTCAAAGAGCACTGGCTTCAATTTCATGTTACCAGCTGCATTAACCCCTAACAAGAGAATCAGCCTGTTTTTTTGAAGTTGAAGCTAGGCAATGACTTCTCTAGTTAAGGGAGTCCATAGTTGACATCTTCTTCCTGTAGAAGTGTGTTTTGTTTACGTTGAAAGTCTGTTGTTCAGTACAGCCACCTTCCTGACTTGCTGCAGCTGTAGGTTCACCTTGAAGTTTTATGTTATGAGATGGCTTTTTCCCTTAAATCTCATAACCCAACCTCTGCTAGCTTTCAGCTTTCCTTCTGTGGTTTCCTTACCTCTAAGCAAGCCTTCAAGAGTTAGGGCCTTGATCTGGATTAAGCATTGGCTTAAGGAAATGTTATGACTGGTTCCATCCAGACAGACCACTAAAAACTATTTTCTCCACGTCAGCAACGGGCTGTTTAATTTTCTTGTCACTAACTAGTGTGTTCACTGCAGTAGCACTTTTTGTTTCCTTCAAGAACTTGATCTTTGTGTTCTCAACTTAACACCTTGCTTTCTGCCTATCTCAACTTTCTGGGTACCTTCCTCACTAAGCTTAATTGTTTCTAGCTTTTGATTTAAAGGGAGAGAGTTATGAGTATTAAACACTTAAAGGCCATTGTACGGTTATTTATATAACCTAACTTTAATATTTGTTGTGTTGGCAGATTGGTGGAGCAGTCAGAATATATAACATGTACACAGTTTGCTTTTATGGGTGCATTTGTGGTATCCCCAAACAATTATAGTAGTAATAACAGAGATCACAGATCACTGAAACATACATAATCAAAAAGTTTGAAATACCGATTGACCAAAATGTGACAGACAAGGAAGTGAGCATATGCTGTTGGAAAAACGGTGCTGGTGGAATTAAATCAACACAGGGTTCCCGCAAACCTGGGTAGAGTGCTGTAGCATCACAGCTCACAGCAACCTCTAGCTCTTGGGCTTAGGTGATTCTCTTGCCTCAGCCTCCCAATTAGTTGGGACTACAGGCACCTGCTACAACACCCAGCTATTTTCTTGTTGCAGTTGCTGTTGTTTAGCTGACCCAGGCCAGGCTCGAACCTGCCAGCCTCAGTGCATGTGGCTGGTGCTATAACCAGCACCGTAACCACTGTGCTACAGGTTGCCGAGCTGAAACCTTTAATCTGTAAGAAAACAGTGCTATATCTGCAAAGCACGGTAATAAAAGAGAAGCCTGTAGTTACGTGATTTAGGAAGCTTCTGTATTCTTTCATTTCTATCATATCATGGTGATCAAAGATTGTCCCCATGAAATAAGAGTAGAAATAGACAATGTATGTGATTATATGCAAAACTCACTTTAAGCATTTTATGAATAAGCAGTTTTTATTAATAGAGGCCGTAATTTACATTTGAAATTGATGACTATTCTCGGTGTTTTGAAAGGTTTAATGATACCATTCCAAGTTCTTGGGCTTAGCTATAGAATTTCATTTGAACTCTAGCTACAAACTGTTTTGTCTAAGATTTAGTATATATTCATATAAGGGTTAAAAGAAAAACCGTCTTCCCCCCATCTTTCTAATCTTTTTTTTTAAGTAGTTCTTTATATATTGTCTCTCAAGGAAGAGAAACACAGTTACCTCATTCCCAGCGTGCCTTACTGTTTTAAGTACATAATGAGTTTATTAATTACCAAGTAGCATACAAAGTTTTTTGAATGTGCCACAATTCTGAAGATAAAACACATTTTTTTCATCTGGTAAACACAGCTTTGCAGGTCTTCATTTAATTTGCTGGAAAAAGAAGTGATTTAGTAGATCAGTAATGCACTCTTTTTTTAAAAGGTCTTATCCATCCATGTTCAGCTAATACTAGAACCTAGCAATAGAGGTTCTATAATAAAGTATATAAGCATTTACCTCTGTCTCTTTGGATATATATAATGCTAATTTTATTATCCAGTTACTCTAATGCAATGCACACATTATTTAGAAAATACTCCTTAAAGAGTTTTTTGGACTTTTAGTTTACCAGGCTCATCAAAATTACTGCCGAGTTTCCTGCATTGCTCACCTGTAGGGCCCGTCCTTTGGTCTCAATGGGGAGAGTAAATGCAGAAATGGCACATATGGCACAGACAGATGAAAAGAGACACAGAGCTCCCAGGAACGAAGCACTCATGAGAACCTGCAAGTCACAAGAGGATGGCTCAGTTTACATGCCCCATCGCTCTAAACTAGTATTTAATGTCAAAGGGAAAATAGGATCCCCTTCACCAAAATGGCCCTTTGCCGGATGCTCTGCCAGTTATACATTCCTGGCTGATTTATTTGTGTCAAGCTAGTGGGGGCATTTTGTGTGATTTTTTTTTTTTTGAGTCTTCCTTTATACCTACCCATTAGGCTTTTCCTAGAGCAAATCTGAGTCTGGGGGGAGATGGGGCATCTGCCACCCACCCTTCTTTCATTTCAGCTTACATAACTGCTGACCCTCTCACTATATGTTGTCCCTTCTGTGCCAAACATTCCCCTTCAGTTCTGACAGGATGAAACAAAAGGCAGGTGGTTTTTGAAGAAATGTAATCTCTGGGTCTCTGAAGAAAATTACTAACGTGTCTTGTCTCTGTTCACAATGCCTCATGTATGAAAACCAATCAAAATGTTCTATTCAGCGTCAGTTTTTCCACCATAAGAATAAATTTCTGCCATTCCCTCTCTCTATATATATCCTGTGGCCTGGGACTTTCCCCCCCAGATAATGACTAGTTCCGACTGTCCTCCTCAAACTTCAAAGTTGTCAGATGGTCAAGCACTTGACAGTTGTCAACTAAGCTCACAAGGACTAAAGTCACCATGTTGTAATTTGGAAAGACCTAGAATCTCTCTGGTGTAGTCTGACCTCTTTGCTTTATAGAGGAGCCTATACTGAGTAAGTAGTTTCAGTAACTACTTGTCCAAAGTCACATATGGGTCCCTGATGCACAGCAGTGTTAGCACCATTTGGCCTCCAACTCGTGTATCTTAGGTAACCTGATCCAAAACTGTAAATGATTCCACTTACCACGCACACAGAACCTGTGATGTTAACCTCCCTAGTACTTTATAGTTGACCTACCAAGTGATAGGTACAGTTCTGATTTTGTCTCCCAAGATAAATCACAATCTCCCCCAAACAGGAGATTGTGTATCATGTGATAGTGTGCGTATTGCCAAAAGGCTGGAAAACCAGGCTCAGGGAATGGGGAGAATAGAAAGAGGCCAAGTAGTCTGAATCAAGACCAAGTCGTGCCATAGATGAGCATGGCACAGTTGACGTGCCTAGGTTCTGTCATTGCTGCCATTCTGTTACTGGACACCAAAATTCTCACCACCAGCAGCATGAATTCTAAAGTATCCCTACTTGACATAGTTTGTATCAAATATAAAGTCCTAGTTGGTGTAAGACCCTGATGGGTTGAGTTTAGATCACAAAACTGTTCCACCAGCAAACAGCAAGGAGAGCACCTGCCCTAGAGGGGCACAAGGATCTGCTTCATGGCAAGACTCTGGCAATCTAGATGTTACTGGGTGTTCTTTCAACAAATTCTACCTAAGTTAACCAAAGTCAGTGTCTGTTGTTTGCAAGCAAGAACTCTGAGTAACACCTGATTATAAAAATCATTTGGGAATTTTGTTAAAATGCAGATTTAAAAGAGCCACTCCAGATTCACTGTGTCAAAAGGAAAGAGATCTCTTAAGTCTCTACTTGTAAAAAGCCAAACCAGGGACAAAGAAGAAGGTAACATAATGGCAAAAGGATTGATCCAACAAGAAGACAGCAATCCTAAAGGTTTTTTTGTTTGGCTGGTTGGTTTCTTGGTATCTTCTAATTTTGAAGGTTGTATACCAAACCGAAGAGCTTCAAAATACATTCAGGCGTAGGCACAATGGCTCATGTCTGTAATCTCCGTACTTTGGGAGATCCAGGTAGGAGGATTCTTGAAGGCCAGGAATTTGGGACTGGCCTGAGGCCCCATCACTACAAAAAACTGAAAAAAATTAGCTGTGGGTGGAGGTACATGCCTATAGTCCTAGCTGTTTTGGAGGCTGAGACAGGAGGATTGCTCTAGCCCAAGAATTTGAGGTTACAGTGAGCTACAGTCAAGCCACCGCACTCAGCCTTGGTCTCTAAAGAATTAAGCAAAAACTGGAAGGAGAAATAGACATCCATAGATAGTTGGAGATTCAGTACTTCTCTCAATAATTAATAGAACCAGTAGACAGCAAAACAGCATAGAACTTCCTGACACCATCAGCCAGGATCTGACTGACATTGGTAGGATGCCCAACAGCAGCAGAGAACTACGCAAGTGCCCATTGAACATTCCCCAAGATAAACTCCATCTGAGCCATAAATGAACCTCAGCAGATTTAAAAAGAATTGGAATCAAAGGGTATTCTCTGATTAGTATCAGGCTAGAAATAAAGGCAACAGCAAAATTTACAAACACGTCTAGATTATCCATGAGTCAAGTCTCAAGAAAAATGAAAACTACATCGAATGGAATGAAAATACAACATATTTTTAGGACACAGCTAACAGGAACAAAAAAAATCTTAGGAATAAAAGGAAATGTGTAAGAAACTCATATTTACTAAGCACATAAAAATTGAAATCTATGTTTTAGAAAAACGCAGTCTTGTAAAAATGTAATCCTTACCAAAGTAAGATATAATTGTAATAAAAATCAAAATCCTGTTAGGATTTTTAAATCAATTTGGAAAAATATTGATTCTAAAGTTAATTTGGCCAGGCACAGTGGCTCATGCCTATAATTGAAGCTGCTCCAGAGGCTGAGGTGGGAAGATCGCTGGAGGTTAATAGGAGTTTAGGACCAATGTAGTGAGACCATCTGTGAAAGGAAAAAATAGTTAATTTGTATCAGCTACTCAGGAGGCTGAGAAAGGAGGATCTCCTGAGCCCAGGAGTCTGAGGCTAGCCTGGGCAACAGCACAAGACCCTGTCACCATCAATAGAAAGGAAGAAGTATGGGCGGCACCTGTGGCTCAGTGGGTGTGGCTCCTGCCCCATATATCAAGTGTGGCGTGTTTGAACCCAGCCCCAGCCAAACTGCAACAACAAAAAAAAGTAGCCAGGCGTTGTGGTACACACCTGTAGTCCCAGCTACTCAGGAGGGTGAGGCAGGAGAATCGCCTAAGCCCGGGAGTCGGAGGTTGCTGTGAGCAGTGTAACCCAACAGCACTCTACAAAGGGCAACAGAGTGAGCTTGTCTCTGCAAAAAAAAAAAAAGGAAGGAAGGAAGAAGTAAAGGATAGAACTGTCAAAAAATAAAATTACAAGAAATTTTTAAAAATAAAATGAGCTTGGCTCGGCGCCTATAGCTCAACCAGCTAAGGCGCCAGCCACGTACACCTAAGGTGGCGGGTTCGAATCCCCAGCCCGGACCCGCCAAACAACAATGACGGCTGCAACCAAAAAATAGCCGGGTGTTGTGGCGGGCGCCTGTAGTCCCAGCTACTTGGGAGGTGGAGGCAGGAGACTCTCTTGAGCCCAGGAGTTGGAGGTTGCTGTGAGCTGTAATGCCATGGCACTCTACCCAGGGGGACAGCTTGAGGCTCTGTCTCAAAAAAAAAATAAATAAAATAAAATAAAATGAGCTTAAAATATGCATGTGAAAAAGTTAATTTGAAAGAATGAACACGTAAGAACTCAAACTTCTGAAAATGTGTAGAGAAGGCTGAGGGAGGTTATTAGCCTAGGACGCATTAGACAAAGTTGTAACCATTAGCAGTGTGACAGCAGTGCTGGCACAGGGCAATTAGTAAAGCAGCAAATCACTAAATAGATCCCGGTGTTCCCAGCGTCTGGAAACTGGGCTTGTGATAACGGGCATGTTGAAGGCCAACAAAAGGATAGCCCAGGATAGCCCTTCGTTTTGTTGCTTTTTAAAGGTAGGTTGTCAGACCACAAAGAAAGAAATAGATCAAAGAACTTAAATGTGTTAGATGAAGCGCTGAAAACATTTGAACTTTTAATATTTTATAAATATTGTATTTTTAGAAATATAAAGGAATGGGGGGTGAAAGCCATTTAAGCGTGACAAGGCCAACGCCAAAGTGAAAATAACCTGTAAATTGCATACAAATTTAAAGCTTTGTATATCACCTTGATAGCAAAATCAAAAGGCAAATAATTTAACAATATCTGTAATAAATGGCTAATATCCTGACTAAAAATTCCAAATTACATAAGCAAAAAAACGAGGGCCATGCATAGTGGCTCATGCCTGTAATCCCAGCATCTGAGAGGCCAAGGAGGGTGGATTGCTGGAGCTCAGGAGTTCCAGACCAATCTGAGGACTTTTGGCAGGCATCTGTCGTCCCAGCTACTCAGTTGGCTGAGGTGAGAGGATTGCTTGAGCTCAAGAGTTTGAGGTTTCTGTGAGCTATGACGCCATGACACACAGCAAGTGAGTGAGACTCGGTCTCAAAAAAAAAAAACAAAAAAAAACCTTACTATCCTGGCTGGGCGCCAGTAGCACAGTGGTTACGGCACTGGCCACATACATGGAGGCTGGTGGGTTCAAACCCAGCCCAGGCCTGCTAAACGACAATGACAACTGCAACAAAAATATAGACAGGTGTGGGTGGCGCCTGTGGCTCAGTGAATGGGGCACCAGACCCGGCCAAACTGCAACAGAGAAATATAGCTAGGTATTGTGGCAGGCGCCTGTAGTTCCAGCTACTGGAGAGAATGAGGCGAGAGAATCACCTAAGCCCAAGAGCTGGAGGTTGCTGTGAGCTGTGACGCTACAGCACTCTGCCAAGGATGACAGAGTAAGACTCTGTCTCTTTAAAAAAAAAAAAAAAATAGCCGGGCGTTGTGGCAGGTGCCTGTAGTCCCAGCTACTTGGGAGGCTGAGGCAAGAGAATCACTTAAACCCAAGAGTTTGAGATTGCTGTGAGCTATGAAGCTACAACACTTTACTGAGGGTGACATAGTGAGACTCTGTGTCAAAAAAGAAAAGAAAAACAGCATGGAGTTTCCCAAAGAAATTAAAAATAGAACTGCCAGACAATCCAGCAGCCCCTTTAGTGGGTATATTCCCAAAGGAAATTACCACTTCATAAAGATATGTGCACTCTTGTGTTCATGACAACATTATTATTATAGCCAAAAAAGAACTT